CATTCCCATGCAGAAAAGTGGGGAGGGGACCTCCAGGCCATTATCCAAGCCACACCTGGAGATAACCAGTCTCAAAGTCATCAAAAGAGGCATTCCTCCTGTTCCTATATATTGTCCCTAAACAATCTGGCCCCAATCATTTCTGTGATCTCTGGTCCTCCTACCCCTTCCTTCACCTTCTTCTGCAACCACGAGATCCCTTGCTTTTCTTAGAACACACAACCTACTGTCTATTCCTGGACAGCTCTTCACTCCCATGTCTTCGTGGCTCATTCCCTCATCATCCAAGTCTTCATTTGCTCAAATGTGAACTGTACAGGAATGCCTGCCCCGACCTCCCTATTTTAAAGGTAAACACCTCCTGCTCCTGCTCCTCTTCCCTGCTTTACCTTTTTCTTCATAGCACTTATCACCTTCTAATATATTATAATTTACTTATTTTATTCTCTCTCTCATCCTGTTTAGGGTGTAAATTCCATGGTTTTGTCAGTCTTAGTCACTGCTACCTCCCTAGCATCAAGAACCAGGTGTGCCACATAGTAGGTGTTGAGAAAGAAAAACATACAGAAGTCCCTGACAATCAGAAGCCGGCCCGTCACTCAAACTAGTCCTTGTTATTCTCTGATTAGACATAAGCAATCTCACAGAAAACTAACTACAGACAAGTTACTCTGAGACCAGGACTCCATGAGATAATGCAAGGCCATTTCATAATTTTATTTAAGCACAGACAAAAACAACTTCCCTGTGCCACCCACAAAATACAAATATGACCAAAATGAGTGGCTGCTACTTTTCTGTTTTCCAATTATAGCATTGTCTTCATTTTGGTTTCCCATTCCTTAAGATTTATTGATTTATTTCTCTCAAGTCATAGAAACTAACAGCATTCACTCTAGAGTGAACACAACTTCCTTAGTCCTTCTGACAAATCACCCAATTGAAGCCCAAATTCTATAATAGGTTCTTTCTAATACCCTCCTACTGAATGCCTTATGGTGTGTGTTATTTTATACTGAAGTGAGTAATGAAGTCAACGTGTTCAACTGCAGGCCTTGCTGATGGTCTTAACTTGAGGGTATTGGCAGTCCTCAAAATATTTTTGTGGAAGAAAGGAAGGGAGGAAGGAAGGGAGAGAGAGAGGGAGGAGGTGGGAGGGAGGGATGGAGGGAGGGAGGGAGGAATATCCTATGAATATAATGTTTCTAATGCAACATTCATGAGCTAAATGCATTGCCTTCTACTCAGGGGCTAAATATTCTGAATTTAATGGACTCTTCAAGCTATATCTCTCCACCTTACAAAGTTCACTTAACCAAGTTCTTATTGAAATTTAATTTTAATCCAGTCTTTCTCCAGAACTAGCAGTTAGCACATCTGTGAAAAGATCACACCCAAAAAAGCCTGTCCAGTTATTCAGGGTATAAAGGTGTCCTGACTTTCCTTTTATCTAGCATGAGTCAACACTGCTCAGAAAGAACAAACACCAAGGCAAATGCCACATCAGAATGAAATTTAGTAACCCCTTAGACACTCATAAATCCCTTTCACCTTCTATCAGCTTCAGACTTTAGGTTGAATACACCCTCTGCAATCTGTGATCTACACTCTAAACTTAATACTCTTCATTAGAATCATGGAAAGTGACATGAAAATCCAAAGTTTATTTCCTTTGATTATTTATTATGTATCTGCCATACACTATCCTGAAGTTACAGGGGATATGATGAAGTATAAAGCCAACATCGATTTACTACAAAAGCTCAGAATCTATATAAGGAGATGCCAGCTTCTAACAAGAGAAATGACTTTAATTCACCTCATCTGTATCAAAGAAAGTATATTCTTTTCTAAATCCTGAGGGGGAAATAGCCTGCTTTTTCCTTCTCCCTAATCCTGCCCTGGCAGATACCTTGATACAGATGCTGGCAGCCTGTGTGCATTACTGACTCAAACAGATCCCTAAGAATAGCCCACGAAAGGCTATGCCCTATTAGAGTTGGTGACAATCACTCCATTCTCAAGAAAAGTCTCTGAAAGCTGTCTCACCCTTCTTAAGTGAAAAACAAGCTGACCTCAACACTTTCAGGAGATTTTCAATCTCTGTTGATTGCTTGATTCATTTCAGTGGAATAAGGTCACATCAATGTCATCTGCATAAAATGCTGCTTATTACCTACCTCTGTTGGGTCCTCTGTTTATGTTGTAATTCTGAGCAAACAGGTTTTCTGCAACTTGGAAACCTATGACAATGACCCATAACACTGGTATGAACAGACTTGAATAAAGACAGCTGGGCAAACATTGAAGAAATATAAGAAGAAATAAATAATATCAACAGTTTGTAGAAGTAGAGTGAGTACATAACTTTCACTAGGAATGTTGGCAGGAAACCTTGAGAAGTGTATGCTCAGGCTGCATAAGTCCATGGAGATCTCACAATCTTTTCTCCAATTAATCATCCTGCAATGTAACAGGTTGATCAAATAAATCTGACTTTCCCATACCATATTTTGAAACTGCTCTGGAGACTTTGGGATGTCCCCAGGAATTCAAGTCCTATGAGCATTCTCAGAACATTTCAGTTATTCATTGCTAGCTAAAGGCAAAAAACTCTAACCCCTTTTCAAGTTAAGGAAATAAAACTAATTTTTCTCTTTGACTTCAATGAAGCAATCAATAAGAAATAAGAAAATTTATAAAACACTAAACAATGTAGAAAGCGCTTTCTCTTGAAAAGCGCTTTCTTTTTGCATCTCTTTTTTGAATCTTTCAAAAGACATCAAACGTACATCCATCAACCAACAAATAATTATCTAGTGCTAGTGGTGGCAAGTCCAATTCTATATAACTATACACAGAATCATATGATCATCTCTGGCCTCAGCAAGTTTATAATCTGCTTACAAAGCAAGGCTGTGAATGTTCAGTAGATACTTAGAGAGATGGAGATTAATGAGGACATATCTGGTTGGAGAAGTGTCATCCAAGATGAAATGCGAGTGAAATTGAGAAGGATGCCAGGATTGTGGCTAAGAAGAAGCAAGGGCAGTTGGAGGGAGAATAGAGGTGCCCATGGGAAGGCATGATTATGGAAATATGGAAACCTGGAAAGCAGTAAAAGAGAGTGAGAAATTGGCTCATGCAGCATTCAGCACAGGGCCTTAAATATAAGGAGTATTTAGTGAAGACAAAACTGAAAAGAGAAGTTGGGCCTTAACTAAGCAGAGAATGTTCCCAAATCTTATCAATCTTATAATCACTGCTTCTTCTGTGGAAAGCAGAAGTTTCTTCCCCAGGACTTCTCCCCAAGACAGTAGAACTGTCAGCACAAGTCTTTATTTTGTGAGTAGAAGAAAATCTAACATTTTTTGATTGCATGAAAAGAACAGTCATTAGAACATCTTCATTAGGTATATGAAAGCAGTGTTTAAAGAAAATTAATATGGCCATGTGACTTAGGTTAGAATGAAGGGAGAATAATGTCACTGAATATGGCTAGAACTCAGAAGCATCATCCAGGCAAAGGGAAATGAGGGGAGTTTTCAGTGAGAAAGATTTTAAGAAGATAAATAATAAAAGTAAATTAAAAATAATTACAGAGTTCAAATTCATAGTTCTCGACGATTGATAAGAAAGAAAGGGAAGGAAAATACAAATACCAGGTTTTACTCTATAATTTAAAATCAGAGAAACTCAGAGGAAACATTGCTAGTGACAGAAATGGAGATGAGAGCCAAGGAGGTTATAACAGAAAAGAGAATTTTTTTGGTGAGACAATATCTTTCCTCGATTTCCTCCAATGTGAGTAAGGAATAGCAGTTCGTTTTTTACCCTCTTCCTGGAAAAAAAGAATCTTAAAGAAGATGGGAGACAAATGCCCAGAAATGTCAAAATATATGGCCAATGTAGACTTTTCCAAAGCCCTGAACTTGGCCTGGCTATGTTCCAGGCCTAAGGACTGACTATGGATGAGTGCTAGGGAAAGCAGAATGACACAGTTTGATGAAAGAAGTGGCAGGAACACCAAGTCACTTCTGAGCAGCCCTGCTACCCAGTTAGAGCATGCCTGGAATTGGTACTTACTACACAGAGTATTTCCCTGTCTGCAATGCAATCACTATCACCTCTACCTCCACACACATTAGCCTGACCTCCTAACACCAGTTAGGGAAGAAGAGAACAACACAACTGACAAAAAGAGAGAGATAAGAACAACAAGTTTGCAAGGACTGTTGGCACATTTTCCAAATGATTATTATCTAGTGAACCTATTAAAAATGAATACTAGCATTGAGATAATCTGTACTGGGTGAATGTATTTCCCTTTATTTTGTTGGGGAAAGGAGAATGAGCAGTGAGTTTCCCACTAGTGCTGTTTTATCTAAGTTAAAAATAATAATAATAACCTTGAATTCCGTCTTGCTGTTGTATTTTTCTCAGTGCTCATATCACTATGTTCAATTCAAAAAAACTTAAAACAAATAGGAAGCAATGCTTACAAGTTCTTAATCTTATAATGTGTGTTTCTTAATATTTATTTAGCTAAGAAAAAAAAAAGACATGTGAATTAATAGCCTTGAGTCAATATCTAGCCCAGGAGGTGCTATTAAATTATCTTGTTAGTTAAATTCTCTCGAGTCACTTGGCAATTGTAAATCTGCGCCACCATGAACTACATTTCCCAAGAGCACACTTTGAATGAATCCCATGAAGTGCATTGTGGGAATTGTAGTCCTGGTCGTATCTCGGTCCTCCCAGCCTTTGACTCAAGCTCTGATTCCGGTTGAACCCGGTGGCTACCAATTAACTGGGGCCATGTCAGTGAGGCCGTGGCCCAACCGGAAAAGCGGGTGTGGGAGTCTCGCACGATGATTGGCCAATAAATGATCACGGGGCGGGGCAATGAGGTGGGCGACGAAGCCACTGCGATTGGACAAGGATACAAGGGCGGCGGGTGGGGATTGGCTGGGCGCCGGGTCAGGGAGGCCTGGGAAGGGGCGGAGGAAGGCGCCTAGAGCCGGAAGAGCAGCGGCGAGGCGGTGGCTGCTGAGTCCGTGGTGGCAGAGGCGAGGGCGACAGCTCCAGAGGGTGGCGGCGGCCCCGAGAGCAGGATGCGGGTCCGGATCGGGCTGACGCTGCTTCTCTGTGCGTTGCTGCTGGGCTCGGCCTCGGCGTCCTCGGGTCAGTATCCGCCCCTCAGGCTGAAGGCCCCGAGCCTTCGCCCCCCAGCCTCCGTCCGAGCCGTGGGGGTTCCAGGCTGGGGGCTCCGCGCTCTCCGCTCACACCACACACTGCCCTGTCACTCGCTCTCTGTGTGCTTCGGCTGGCCTGGACCAAAGGGAATGTCTGGGGAGCTGGAATGGGGAGGAAAAGAAGGGGTAGTCACCCTGCCCACAGCTCTGTCCCACGTAACAAACTTCAGGCGACTCCTTTTCCCTGCTTAGACCCGCCGTGACACGAGCCCCAGTGGAGCTTCCGCGACGCTCTTGTAGATTGTGTGCTGCATCGACCGGGTCTGGAGTGCTGGGTTTGGGATTTGTACGTTAAGTAATTGACACACCTGGAGCTGTCACTTTGGGCAGAGCCGAGGCTATCAGGACCAGGATGTTGACAGTGGCTTGGCGAGTTTGCTTAACTCCTGAGATGGTCCCTGGTCTATTTGTTTGAAAACGAAGACTTTTGATCTAATGAAAGCCACTGCCTACCCCTTTCTTAAGTGGTGACCTCCGCCACAGTGTTTCTAAGTTGCCCCATGTTTGTTGGCAGTGATTTTATGATTTTGGAGAAAATCTTTCTTATAAAATGGATAGCTAATAGTTTTAGTGATGTATATGCTTTTGAATTGGTTTTCCAATTAGCTGATTAATATTCAGGTTCAAAAAGTGATATTTTTCTCTTTTAAGGTTGTGTGTGTGTGTAAGCAGGATTTATTGAGAGGACAGAGAAACTCCCACAGTGGGTGGGGACCTAAGGGGGTTGCCATCTTTTAAGTTTTTAATCTGCTTACATCTGAAAACTTCTATTTTGAGAGTGTTGATTTAAAAAAAAATACTTAGCGTTTGTAAGTGTTGATAAAGAAAAATTAGTAAAGTTTTGGAATTTTAATCAGTTTCAGTTAGCAAGACAGCTGTTCTGTGGCTTTAAGTGTTTTTGGAACAAGGCAAGAGTGTAAATGTCAACTTTTTTTTTTAAACAGAAAATTCCCCAGATGGTTATGTGAATCCCCAAATTATCTGTCCTAGTTGTAAATCAGTGTCATATCATCATTATGCTTCTAAAATAAGAGGTCTAAACCTAAGAATCTATCAGTGCTGTCATTTGAGATTGTTCCAAAAGCAACAAGCCATATGCTAATTGTTTTACTGCCAACCTCACACCTTGAGGTCCGCTCCCCACCTCCACTTGTGATGCTTGGAGTTCTTGACCAAATCTTTACGGACTATACATAACTCTTGAGCACTTCTAGCAGTTATTTGACCAAAATAACTATGAGATGAAGCTGTTGAGTTTAATGGATGGAGTGCCTGGTACCAGAATTCCTCTTACCAGTTAGTTAAAAATTTGATATTAGATCTGGAATAGCTCAGGTATATGGAGATTAACAGCCTCCATAACTGATTCTTCACACTAAAGCCTGAGAACTACAGTAATTAAAGAACAAGTGTATATCCCTCTGAATTCAATTTTCAAAGTTTAAAGAAAATTAAAGCATAGAAATTTTTGTACATCTTCCTTTGCCTGTGGTTCATGTAGTTAGAGCCTTCATGTCAGTGGAAATGATACTTGAAAGTCAACAGTTGGGATTCTCAAGATATGTTATAAGACTATTAGTACTGACTTGTTAAATCTTTGGGTTGTATTGATGCAAGTTAAAGGACCGTGTTCAAGAAATGTCTGCTCTGATTTCCATCATAGTTAAAACAGGGCCAAAATACTTCTCTGGTGAAGGCAAAAACCTAACTTAGCCAGAACTAAAGCAATATAGATGTGCATGCTAAAAGGTAATGAAAGTAGTACTGTGTTAACATGAAGTTAAGATATAATACAACACCTGTGCGAAATAAAGTTTTGTCAATTAAACACATGGATTTTCAGTTGACTTTTTTATTCATTAAAGTGCTTATTTATACAGGATTTCAACCTCATTTTGAAAGTTTAGATTTAAACTTTTGCTCCAGCATAAATATCAAGTTCTGGGTGATAATTTTGTTTGAACATTAGTAGTTTCTCAGGACAAATTGTGTCTATTACCAGGTAGAATATGATAACCCAACAAAGAGAACCTTGATTCTATCACTGTTAGCTGTTATCTAATATCTTATTTAAAAGGCATGTAAAAGTATGATATGGTCATGCACCACTTAATGACATTTTGGTCAATGACAGATCGCATGTAATGTGGTGGTCCCATAAGATTATAATGGAACTGAAAAATTCCTGTCAAGTGACATCTAATTGCTTGAATTTTTTAATAAATTTAGTCTAAGTCTACAGTAGCATGCAGTAATGTCACAGGCCCTTATATTCACTCACCACTCACTCACTGACATACCATGAGCAGCCTATAGTCCTGCAAGCTCCACTCATAACTGCCTTAGACAGGTGTACCATTTATTATCTTTTACACCATCTTTTTACTGTACCTTTTCTATGTTTAGATATGCTTGGATACATAAATACTATTGTGTTACAACTGCCCATAGTATTCAGTGCGGTAGCATGCTGGTCACATTTGTAGCTGGTCACATTTGGAGCAATAGGCTATACTATACAGCTGACATGTAGGAGGCTACACCATCTAGGTTTGTGTAAGTACACTCTGTGGTGTTCACATGATGGAATCACCAAACAGTACACTTCTCAGAATGGATCCCCATTGTTAAGTGATGCATGATTGTACTTATATTAGAAATGTCTTCTTTTCCTTGTGAAAAAGTAAATTTCAAAGAGATTACAAAGGTATTTCTTCATTATTCTCAAATAATAGTGAAAAGGCTGTAATGTTTCCCACCTAGGAAAAATTCCAATCAACAAGTGACATCCAATTGCTTTAATTTTTTAATAAATTTATTTCCTTATTTTGAGCAGGAAGAGGCAAATATTCTATCCTTTTGTGTGTGTGCCAAACAATGTTAGACTCTTTAATTAGGTCCACCGCCAGGTATTTCAGGTAATCATTATAAATTTAGAGAATAGTTTTCAGATTGCAGAGAATGTTTAATTTCACTCCTTTAGTTGTTTCTTAAAACATTATTGTGAGTCACTAAGACAGATGGTATTATCCCCTTTTGACAAGATCAAATTCAGTGACAAAGCAGAAGACAGAATGGCTGGTGTCTCTCTCTCTCTCTCTCTCTCTCTCTCTCTCTCTCTCTCTCTCTCTCTCTCTCTCTTTCTCCCCCC